TTCATATTTGATCATTAGTATATATTTCTTTGTTAAGTGTTTGCTTAGTTTCTTGGCCTGTTTAATTTTTTAAAATTAAATTTTAAAAAATTTGTGAAGTTTTAAGTGTTTCTAATATATATATATATATATATATACACACACACACACACATACATATATATATATAATTTCAAAATTTAAGATTTCTGCTCATCAAAAGACACTATATGTGTGTATGTATGTATGTATATAAATATATATACACACATATATATGTAAAAAGATTTTCTGTGCTCCAAGAAGGCTTTGCTTATGCCAAGATTATAAATATTTTCTCCTAGGTTTGTTCTAAAACTTTTATAGTCTTATGATACACACTGAATTAACTTTTTTGGTTTGGCGTGAGGTAAGGGTCTAGGTTTGATGTATTTCAGCATATTATATTAAAAAAAAGGACTTTGCATTCCTTCATGAGATTACACTGGCACCTTTATTCAAAACCATCTGGCCAGGGGATAGAGAAGTTAATATTGCCCAAGGTTAAGAATGGGAAGAGGAGGATGGATATGAGGGTGTAAACACCAGGAAGATTTTGTGATTGGAATAATCCTGAATCTTGATTATGATGGTGGTCACACAAATATACAACTGTAATAAAATAGCACAAAATTAAATGACACATTGAACCAATGTTAATTTTCTGGTTTGAATATTATACTGTAATTATACAACATGCAACCATCCAGGGAGAGTAGGGAAAGGTCTGTGAAGCCTCTTGGTACTACTTTTGCAATTTCCCATGATCCAATAACTATTTCCAAATACAAAGTTTAGAAAATTAGTTGCCACATCAGTGTGTGTCTGTTTCTGGGCTCCCTGTTCTGTCTACACGCTCTGTCTCTGAGAGTCGGTTCTCCATCCTTGCTTTTCAAGATTTGTTCTATATATCCTACTATGTTTGCCTTTCTACTTAATTCTAGAAGCAGCTCATTGCTTTCTATAGGTGGGCTTACAATTGGGATCCACTCGAGTTTACAGATCATTTTAGAGGGTATTGATGTCACAACATTAAGCCTTCTGATCCACAGACATTCATTTGAGTGCTCTTAAATTTTCCATCAGGAATGTGTTCCAACTTTCAGTGTATAGGACTTTCACATCTTTTGTTTCATTTATTATTAAGAATTTTAGTTTCTTAATGTTATTGCAAATAAAATTGTTTCGCATTTCATTTTTGAATTGTTTGTAGATAATATTATAAAATATAATTGGTTATTATATCTCAACCTTGCTCCCTACAACCTTGCTAAATTAACTGACCAGTTTTGGTGGCTATTTTATAAATTCCTTAGAGTAATTATGTCTTTTCATTTTTTTTGGGGGGGGGGGTATCAGGTATTAAACCCAGGAGCTTTTTACATCTGAGTTATATTCCCAGACAATTTTATTTTCTATTTTTGAAACAGGGTCTCACTAAGTTGCTTGGAACTTCTCTGAGTTGCCAAGGCTGGCCTCAAACTTGTGATCCTCCTGCCTCAGCCTCCTGAGTTGCAGGAATTACAGGTGTGTGCCACTGTACCCAGTTGAGGCTGTGGGTTTTCTCTATGAATTTTAGTTGCCATCAACTGGGGCCAGCACTCAAATGAAAACTGTAAACAAATGAAAACTCACCAGTATGTCCTTCTTCCAGGTGTAGATTTGATTCCCCTCCAGTGGAGGCCTAATTTTTACTGCTCACAGTGCCTTTGGGCAGCCATTTCTTTGTATTTTGTCCAGCGTATAGTTGTTACCTGCAGGGTGGTTCATCTAATAGGAGCTAATCCTATCTCATTACCAGAAGCTGGAAGCCCAGGTTTGTTCATTATTTATATCACTCCTCTCCCTGTCTCTGATGGTTCTGTTTGCAAGTGGTGATTTGGCCAAATTTCTCATGCCAGGAGCAAACTCAAAGGGCTTATATAACCCACAAACTGGATTAGTGGGCCTCTAAATAACTATGAGCTTACTGTGTCAATATGCTTTCAGAAGTAGAACTCCTGATTCATTGTGCTGCCCGAGTCCACATAATTGGGACTAGACCAACTCTAGGCAAAATTGGATAGCCCATTTAATTTGCCTTCCCGGGGCCTGTTCTTCAGCCCTCTGCCCAGCGTCTTTATGGTTCTTCCTGCCTGGGTAGAAATGATCCCTGGATTCCCAAGTTTTCTTTTTCCAGACAATCCTCCAGGACCCCTCTCTCCTCTAGTACCTATCAACACTCTCTCTCCTGGGGCCTGCTGTCTCTTTGCTCAGCTGGTGTTGGTAAAGGACTGGAGTCTAGTTCTGTGACAGTGACAATAGCTAATGTGTTCTCTTTCACATGCTAAATCTGTCTTGAGATTGGCCATCCTGAAACCATAGAATGAAGCAGAATGTAAAGGAAAGCCACTCCTTCATTTTTCCTGTTCAGAAAACCCATTGCCAGAGAGGGTAAAGGTCTTGTCTGGGGTCATGGCCGGGTGCAATGAGCGCCAAGTCCTAATTCCAGACTGAGTGGACCCAGCAATGGCCTCAAGCACCAAGTCCAGTGGCAGTGTGTGGAAGGCGATAGCACTTCAGTTTTCTTTCTGACTGGCATCCCTCCTAGATGGTGACAGAGTGGACAATGACAGTCTGCGTGGTCACCTAGTGAGTTCACGGTATTAGTAGTGTAGGATGGGAATGGAGTAAAAGAAGTTAGGATGTCTTACCTGGAAGAGAGAAAACTGAGTGGGAACATCAAAGACCCGAGTGGGAATGTAGGCCTATTCTATGGAGCCGCATACAACAGAACTGTGATAAATGGGTCAAGCATACAGTCAACTTCAGTTTGGGACAAGAAAGATTTCCTAACAATTAGAAATGTCTACAGTTAGAAGGGCTGGATTCCCTCACCTGCACTTCATCTCAACAACCAAAATACCCCAGGTGGTGAATTCTGTACCTCTGGAAGCTTGTGGAAAGGCTCAACTGAGACATCTTAGAAGGGGTTCCTTTAATATATGGGAGTTTGGAATAGATTTCCTCCTGGTCCATATCCAACTGTTGATGATGGGAGACCTTTTGGGCTCATTAAGATTAAAAGGCATAGACACCTATCTACCCTGTAGAGGGAAGGGGGCCTCTGAGTACCCTAACACACACACTCTCCCTGCCCCAACCTAATACCCATGGGGATTGCTATGGGTTGGAGTGGTGTGGTCGGGTGTGATGCACTGTGGTGTAGTGAGGGGTGGATTGGTGTGGGGTGTGTGTTGTGGTGTGACGTGATGTGGTAGGATGTGGCATGGTGTCATGTGAAATGGTGTACTGTTGTATGGGGTGGCATGTTTGATGCACTACATATGTGGCTGTGTGGTATGGTGTTGTTAAGGTGTGCAGCTCCACTGGATAGTGACCAAGTGGAACTGGAGTCGTTTGGGTTGTTGAGACGAAGTGCCAATCTAGTGATTTCCTTGGCAGTGTTGGCTGCATCTTTTATAAGAAAGCAAGTCTCCTGTGTCATCCTGCACTGGTCTGTGGAATAGTCTGGCAGCCACAGTATAACATGTCACAACAGAATGTGTGCCATAGAGTCCCACAAGGGCCTCTCACCCACCTCTCCTGCCCATCAGCTGGAGGGCAGAGTCAGCATCAAACTGAAAATAAATCTTATGTATTATTTTGTAGTTGGATAAACTATGTTTTAAAAAATTTCATCCATAAAACCAAAGACAACTCACATGTCAGTTCTGACAGAGGACAATGTGGTTTTATAATGTGCCCATGGTATCTGAGGTTCGTGAACTACGAGGCTCAATAACCTCAACACCGCTCCAGGGTTCTCCCAAGGCCTTTCAGGAGAGGCTAACTTTTGCCAAGGACCATAGATTCTGGAACTCTCTTTATTTGCATATTTTTAAACATGAAACTGCTTCTTAAGCAATGCATCTAGGATCTATGGATATAGATATAAGGTAGACTCTGCTTTTTGGTCTTAACCTCCTTTTCTTCTAATACAGCAATTCTTCTTAATAAAATTTGTCATTGGGTATTTCTAATTCTATCAATAAAGTGTTCACTGGAAAACCAGTAGTTAGTTTTGATTTGGTTGGTGTTGGTTTAACAGCTCTAAATGTTTCAGAGGCAAATCTATTTGAATGATTACGAGAGAGAGAGAGAGAGAGAGAGAGAGAGAGAGAGAGAGAGAGAATGAGAATGAAAGAATATGAATCCAGATATAGCCAAAGACATCAATGTCTACCCTGGAACACTGAGGCACAGAATGCCGGTGTGATTTCTTGTAAGGTGGCAGGATGGTGATGGGTAAGAGAGGGAGGAGGAGGAGAAGTAAGGGGAGGAGCAAGACGGGGACAGGAGAATGAGAAAGAAGCAGGGAAGGGCCAGAGAGAGGCCAAGACCGAGAGCTTGACTTAACTGCTTGATACTGTATTTGTCTGCCTGCTTTGTTCCTTCCTGTCACCAAGGGTAGACAGGAGGAGTTATGCTCGACCAGCAGTAGCAGTCAGCTTTCTGTTGTCTTTCTGCCTCTAATTCTGCACCCCTCAAGCCCCATCTTCACGTAGCCCTTAAGTAATGATCTCCAGTGCAAACGGCCGGCAAATCCTATTCTCTGCCTCCATTTCTCACAACCCTGCTTCCGCCACTTGGCTGAGAAGGGTTAAAGTACCAAGCTTGATGTAAAGTCTCACTGGCGTCCTGGAGCCTCTGTGGCTCCCAGTGAGCACCCTGACCCTAGGCGTCTTTCTCTGAAGGACCTGACCTCATGCTAATGGTTGGAGGGGTGAGGCCCTGCCCTCTAAGGAAGAGAGTTAGAGAGGAAATGCCATTTGCTTGTGCTTGTTTCTTCCTGGTTGTCCTAAAGACCTTTAATGATGAGGTGTTTGGCCCCATCATTCACAGCCGAAATTTCACACTCACATTTATAACTCACAGGGAAGTGTGTCTCCTTCTGCAAGGGCTCTCTAGGTACTCTGCCAGGCACAATGAGCACAGCCAAATCATTGTCTATATGCTTGTAGACAGATTTATTTCATGGGTTTCTTAACTGTGTTCAATATTAAAATTCATGCTGTTGGAAAGGCCCACAGGCGAGTGCCCTTCCTGCTGATGGCCTCTCGATGTCCCCTCCCCACTTCTTTCTCATTCTCCTGTCCCCTCACATCATAGAACACTTCTGTTCAGCCGACTGCTTGATTTCCATAAAGGTGGCCTGGGCCTTTTCTTTTATGGTGTCCAAGTCCATGTTCTGGAGATTCTGCAACTGCCCAAGAACAGAATCCTTATCTTCTTCCTCTTCTTGATCCTCATTTACCATCTTCCGGAGATCTTCAGGCAAATCCACATCCTCTCCGGCCATCTGGATTTGATTCTCATCCATTTCACTCTAGGTGAAAAATAAACACAGAAAGAAATATTCTAAAATTAACCACCTTGATAAATAATAAATAAATAAAATGTAAGAGCAGTAAGAGCATAAAGGTCTGCAAGGAGAAACGGTCTACCTGGCTGTCTCACAGCACAGGATGGTCCCAGTGGTAGCCATTCTGCGGCAGGCCAGGGCTCCAGGTTGGAAGGTCCCACCCTCACTGTACCTTGGCTTGACCAGAAACTTTTAGCCTGGTGGTTCTCAGACTGTGCTCTCTGGACAAGCAGCATTTGCATTATTTAGGAGCCTGTGAGAAACACAGTCCTCGGGCCACCACAGACCTGCTAGATCAGAAGTTCCTGCAGTTGGGCCCCGCAATCTGGGTGGTAAGAAGCCCTCTCCTCAATGCTGATACCCACCAAAGCCTGAATATTCGCTCTGACTCCTCCCCTGGGTAGTTTTGCAAGTTCTGCTGAGAGAATAATCTAAAGTAAAATGTCCTCTGAGAAAGGGTCACACAGCCGATGTTCCCAGATGGTGGCTCTCAGACAATTTTTGGAAGTCAGGTTGTAAGAGGAGGCAAGCTGGGTTTCAGGGGAACAGAAAATTAAAAAGTATCAGAAGAGCTAATGATAGAAAAGATTTATGTTAGGGTCCACCCCCATAGCTTGTGACCAGCCTTGCATCTGTTACCAAAGTTCATGTGGTCACATAAAGATGAAATGATCATCTTGATCCTAATCAGACCAAAGTGATTTTAACGATTTCAGCACTGTGTTAGTCAGCTTTTCGTCACTGTGACCAAAATACCCAAAAAGAACAACTTAAAAGAGGAAAAGCTTATTTTGGCTCATGGTTCCAGAGGTTTAGTCCAGATTGGCCCAAGGTGAGGCAGAACATCATGGCAGAAGGGCATCGTGGAGAAAAGCAGCTCTGTTCATGGCAGCCAGGAAGCAGAGAGAGAAAGGGAAGAGGCCACAGGGAAGATGCACCCTGTCAGGGCACAGTCCAGTGACCCACCTCCTTTGGCCACACTGCACCTGCCTATAGTTACCACCTCGTCAGTCCATTCAAACTAGGATGGACTGATTAGGGTCCAGCTTTCACAATCTAATCATTCGCCTCCATTCATTTCTGCATGAACACAGGAGCTTTGTGGGGACATCACATATCCAAGCCATAATAAGCACCTGCTAAATGCCTGGGAAAAGTTCAAGCCAACTCCTAAGAGATGGGAACACCCCTTGTCTGGGTGCTGAGGAGAAATGATCAGAAAGATCATTTCTTTGTCTCTAGGTCCAAGTGGCATTCTTCATCAGTAAAGTGAGCTGAGATTGCTTCCTTATCTGACACTCTATGGCTCTGAACTTCTCCTTGGAGAAGTGTAGTCCAGCAGCCTTTCCCCAGAACTTCTTTTATTTGGTTCCCCAGTAGAGTGACAGCCATGCCTGACTCCAAAATGAGCTTGGAAGACAGATTCTTTATACAGAGGAGAAGAGTACCCTTGGAGAGATGGTCCTCACACAGGCCCTCCCTGAAGACCTCAGAGGAGAGCCACACCTTGCCTCAGCCTCTTGAACTTGGCTGGGGCCTCAGTCCCTCCAGCATTTAGAGGATTAATTAGTTTCTCATCAAACTGCTGTGGGATTAATTAGTTAATCCCCAGGGGCTCTCAGCCAATCTTGCATTTCTATTTACTTCTTATTTACCCACTCTTGTGACTGCTTTCCTCATTGATCATCCTCTGGGCATTTCTGCAGGAGGAGTTAAACATGCACATTTTACCCAGCCCTGAATTAGATCATGCAGATGCAGGACATCTGCCCTGCACCCAAATCAAATGTAAATGATTTGAAAAGAATTTTCAGGAATTTTGACTCCACTCCTCAGGTTGGAAGCAAGATCCATGCATTTGTCACCAGGCTCCACCCTGGCTGACTAATAGCTATAGACCTGAAGGTTGAGGCAGCTAGAGGCCAGGGGGAAGGAAGTGCGCCAGCCCACCCAGTGCCATGAAGACCCAGCCCGCTCTGCTCACAGGGGATGGGGCTCTCCTGCTCCCACTCCCAGAGTGATCCTGCAGCCTCCAGAGAAGCCTCAGGTTTCTTCCTCCACGGGGCACTTTGAAGTTTATTTTATCCTCGCGCCCAGGGAAGGTTGAGCTTTGGGATCCTGCTTTATTTCATAACTCAGAGAAGGGTTCTTGATCACCCCAACTTCTACCAAATGGTTCTCAGAGTAGGGTCTGGACCAGCAGCAGCAGCACTGCCCGAGACCTTGCTAGAAATGCCGGTTCTTAAGCCCTACCCAGACTTGCTGATTCAGAGACCAGGTGGGTGGAGCCTGACCCAGCAAGCCCTCCTGTGGTTCTGGTGCTGCTCTAGGGTTACATCTACTGCTCTACAGTCCTTGAGGATGGGCTGCAGCAGATGCACCTTTCTGTCTCAGAGCCCAGCAGAGATTTTGGCCTGGAGAAACTGGCAGTACCTGTATATGGAATGAGTTAGTGACAGTCTCAATAACCACACAAAGTCATAGTGTGCTTTGCCGTAAAGAGCTCCGTCTTCATAGCCATGAGTTCTTCTTTATCCTCCCATTGAGGTGGTGCTCTCCAGAGTTAAGGACATTGGCTTGACCAATGCCTGAGTGACAATGATAACTCCACTACTTCCCAGGCTACATGGCCTGGGCACCTTACCCAACCTCTCTGAGCTTTATTTCCTTATCTATAAATTGGGGACTGTATTATATGTAGTAGAGTTGTGAAGGATCAATTAGATGATAATTGTGTTATTTAGAATCTTCATTGAATCCTCAACTAGTGGTGGCTATTCATAAAAATGATAAATCTCAGAGATGGGTGGATTTTTCTCTGGGTTGTCCTGCATGGGAAGGTTAGACCCACATGAAGACCTCACTCTCTGCATCCTACCAATGACTCCCACCTTGGATCCCAAGCTTAATTCTCCTAGTAAGCTAGAAATCCATTTCCCTTCCAGCACTCCGTCTCCAACTTTAGGTGGCAGGTAGTTCCTGGCCCAAGCTCTGTTTCCTGTGGTCAGGCCCACCCTGATATCTGAGTACTGACAGAAGTCCCTTCTGGCAGATGACCTTTCCTCACTTTGCGAGGTCCCCAGCTCCATTCTTTACTGAGAAGGACCTTAGGACACTGGTCCACAGCCTCTGCCTCACTCTGGTCAGCCTCTCAGTGCACACGGAAGCATGGGCCTCCAAGGAGGTCCGGGGTGCACTTAGGCAGGGAAAATGGGGTTCTGAGCAGCCAGAATAGGCATGCCCCTTTGGCTTTGCAGATTCCCCACTTTTGTGTGAAGGAGTATGGCCAATGTGGGAGAGAGGGAGCCTATAAAGTGCGCCCCCAGATGTCCAGGTCTGAAGGCAGTGCTGGGTGCCTTCAGAGTTCCACGCTCTCTGTTGTTCTAGAAGCACCATCTCCTGGCCCTCCATCTGCAGCATGGTTGTTCTAGGTGGTGATTCTAATTCACCTGGTCCTGCTTAGGTCATAGCCTTTGCCATGGACACCTTTGGCTAAGAGTGAGACAACCAGATTGGGCCAGTGAGTGGCTAGAGAACCAAATGAAGGCTCCTGGCACCAAACCCAGGCTTCTGGCCTTATTAGCACTGGGTTCTAACTAACGGAGCTGGCCGGGGATCTAGGACTGACCGCATGTCTCATTTGTAAGAGTGGCATCCTCCTCAGACTCTTTCCCTGAAGGTGGCCTACAACAGGGGAAAGATGGTGAGATTTGACACCAGAAAACCTGGGTTCCAATACAAATCACTCACTCACTGTGTGACCTTGGGCAAGCCACCTTACATGCCTGATGTATAGTGGGAGGGCCACTTGGCACTTTGTTGAGCAGATTGAATAAGGCATGCTGTGAAACGGCCCACAAGCCTCCAACCCTGTTCAAACAGTAGCTGTGCTTATTAATATTTCAGAGGAAAGTGAGCAGCTCCATGTCCAGGTCCCTGCAGAAAAGATGTCTGGGATAGAGGAGGCCCGGACAGTGAACCAGAGAGTAAGAGAGCGTGGGCCTTTTCCAGAGAGCTGGGACAGAGCAAGCAATTAAGGAGCACAAACAGGGTTTATAGAGTGGGCACTGTGCAGCCTCGCTTCCGCCTTTCTTAATGAACCGCCCTGCTGGCAGGACCCTGTCTACCACTCACACAATGAATGCCTTGTCTAGACTTTCTGCTGCCCATTGACAAACCTTAGGTGGGGGAGACCAGGAATATTTCAACACAGTCCACACTTCAAACACAAGCGCAGCTACAGCCAATGTCAATCAGCATCACTGGAAGCAGCTCCAAGGAGGGGCCCCAAGGCTGAGGACCTCAGGGAGGGAGTAAACAGGCCTGTGAGTGACAGCCACATGGTTAGGGCACCGTGGATGATAGGCCAAATTATTTTCTTAGAGTTTCCTAGAGGGTCTCTTTGGAAGTCTTCTCACTTCTACAAATCCTACCAACTTGGGATACTGTTTAATACAGTTCAGAGCTAATTATTTTTATGCCAACTGCCAGAATCCATCTCAATCTCTCTCTTTCTCTCTTTTCTGGTACTGGGATTGAACTCAGACATGCTCTACCACTGAGTTACATCCCAAGTCCTTTTTACAAATTTTTTGAGACAGGGTCTTGCTAAGTTGCCCAGACTGGCCTCAAACTTTTGATCCTTCTGCCTCAGCCTCTTGAGTCACTGGGATTATAGGTGTGTACCATTATACCTGGCTTTATTCTCTCATTTTAACCAGATATCATCTTTTGTTTGTTTGTTTGTACCAGGGATGGAACTCAGGGGTGCTTAACCACTGAGCCATATCCCCAGCTCTTTTAAAATATTTTATCTAGAGATAGGGTCTCACTGAGTTGCTTAGAGCCTCACTATATTGCTGAAGCTTGGCTTTGAACTTGGGATCCTCCTGTCTCAACCTTCTGAGCTGCTGGGATTATAGGCATGTGCCATTGAGCCTAACCAGACTTATTATTTTGATTGC